GCACGCGTTTATATCTGTGTCTAAGAATGGATTTAATGTTGATCAGAGCAGAGTGGACTCCCTCCATCCAGTCAGCTCTCTTCTTTTTATTCCTTCTTATCATCTCTTATCAGCATTCACCCCCACATTTACAACAAAGGCAAAAAGATCCACTGTACATGCAGTGGGGTCCAGAAGTGTAAGACCACCAGTAAAAATGCTTCTATTTTGCATTCTTTTTAAATTTAACACAATGGTTTTGTTATTTTAAATGATATTATCAGCTTTACTTTACTGTAATTTGAGTAAAAAGTAGAATATTTGAAACATTTACATTCATTTAACATATAATCAAAGTCCATGTTTTGTTGGTAATTGAAAATTAGTGAACACATCCTCTACAGAGAACACACTTTTGCACATTTTAATGCACAATTACTAATAATTTACTGAGTTTAACATATTGGCAAAGATAAAACATAAAATATGGCTTGTGCAAAAGTTATGGCACATTTTATATTTTATTTTACCACTTTTCTTCCAATATGTTACACTCAGCAAATAAACAACTGTTTATGCATTAAAATGTGTAGAAGTATGTTTTACACATATATAGTGTGTTGTACACACACACACACACACACATATATATATATATATATATAAAACAGCCCAAATTTCTGTCTCTTTGTTAACAATCCTGCACTGAACTGTATCTAATCAACATTTCACATTTTAACATTTTGAAAAGAGGCAGAAATACATTTATTCTAAAATATTCACATCAAAATTATAACATACTCACTTAGCATTAGTGTGCTTAGCCAAGATTTTGGCCTGTATCAAAACACATTGTATAGAACTTCATCATAACAGGTGATCTGATTAGAATTATTATAGATTATAGAATATATAGTTAAATAATTATTATAGATTATATATTTATTGTGAAGAACAGTTATCAAATTATGCATATATACATATATATTTATATATATACGTGTGTTTATTTATATATATTTTATTACTGTACATATTTTAATACAATTCTTATAAAAACAATCATTAATAAGTAATGATTTGCCGTTCCTCAGATGTATAACCAAATAAAAAACAGTGTCATCCAACATGCAAAATGTAAACAAAAAAAATAAAAGTAGTGATTATTGCATTTTACAGTACTCAGAGTCTATGTTTGTGTATTTTGGGCAAATGTTGTGTGTGTGTGTGTGTGTGTGTGTGTGTGTGTGTGTGTGTGTGTAAAAGCAGCAGGGGTCTCTTTATGGCTTTGACTAGATTAGATGAAGTGTATGCATTTCTACACAGCCATAAATATGGAGCTGCACTGTGTTTAGCTGTGTTTAGATGAAGCCTGTAAATAATCAGAGACTACTGAAGACAAGCAGCACTACAATTAACACTGAAATCATGCAAAAATCTGTTTTTTCTCTTCTCTACTGTCAAACTCAGCCTAATTTAAATGTAAGCGAGAGGTTCATGCAACATAAAACTCCACTGTTCTGGTATCGCATACTACTCTCAGATTTAAGAGAAAAACCCCATCAGCTTTAAAGTGTCAGAACGAAAAGTAATAATTTCGTTATTGAGATACAGCAGGCCGCAGGACGCGCATTCAAATCATTTTACAAGAGGTTTGAACTGCCAATTCGTCTGCAGTTTCATCACACATGAAAAAGGAATCAAAATATAGGACAGATGTTGTGCAAAAAAAAAAAAAGCCCCTCAATCGAGCTGTTAAGCTTTGTCACAAAACTGCAAAACTGCCATTTCATTTTCTTTCTTTTTCTGACGGGAGTGCGTCTATTAAAGCGAGCGTGATCCGACGTGGCCAAACATACGGGAATATTTAACAGCCAATTGCTGCCCATTAACTTTGATCATGGCCACTGCGACTGGAATCTGGCCGTCACTCGGCTGTCTCGGGAAAGCACAAACATTTTCTTTCTCCCTGCTTCTCTCCGGCGAGAGGGCCGCGCCGTGCCGGTGACTAATGAAAGTTGGCAGCCTCGCTGCAGCTCTCTTCACACTTAAGTATCAAACAAAACATTTCCTCTCCTGCGGGGTCAGCCGCGAGCAGGACGCAGAGGAAAAACAGTGGGTCAGCGGTGTCGGATTATGGGGGACGAGTGAGTGAGCAAGCAAGGGAGAGAGAGGGAGAGAGAGAGGCCTGGGTGGCTCTGGCCTCGGCTTTGGCTTTGCTTGGTGTAATGTGGGCTTAGGCCTGGAAAACCTTGACAAGTCTATTCGTACATGGACTGTGCTTTAGCACACTGCAGTGGTGTAGTCTACATTATACGCAGGTACACACTGTATACCCACTAGAAAACCAGTCGCATCTGTGTTTGCTCACAGTGCAGTGCTGGCCACCCATTGTTTATAGAATTGTGACACAAAAAAGAATTAACTAACACCGAAACCAAATTCTGAACAGCGTTGGAAATAAAACTCTTTTGCTCCATGTCAAACAGGCTGACTAAGTACTCAGTTAGCAGTTAGTATTACTAATTAATTAAGGTGATATTAATCATATACAGTACTGATATTTCTTGCTTGTGTAAAACTCCCAACTACATTACCTCACAAAAACAAAGAAAATTCCTGAAAGTTGTCTGTAGTGCATTTTGAAATGAAAGCCTTCACATACAGACTAGCATTTCAGTCAAACCTGATGGTTTTGTGTGTATTTGTGAGTAAGCAAGTTATGTAATACTTTGCTATTCTGAAACACGAGTCCCTGAACATGAGGACGTGACTGAGACAGAGGTAGTGCTGCTTCATTGCTAACCAGTCTAACTACTGTTGCTCATAACAGATAACATGTTCGCACATTGTCCACTGAGGAGAGGTTCTCATGAGCATCCAGCCTAACACTGGTTAGCTCATCAACTCGTCTGAAAGGCAGCCTCTGTTGGTCACCCAACATGACAACCTACCAATTTCCCTCATGTTTGAATAATATAACATGTTTTCAGGTGTATTACTCTGTGTGCTGCTATATTTCTGTGCAACACCAGTGCTGTCACCTCAAAAGGTAAGCCTACAGCCTGACATTGTTCACTCAACCGGATATCCCTTCATAAACACTTACGGATACTCAAATTTCAAAATGAGTCCGCATGCAAATCCTGAAATTAAACAAACCCTTAAAATGTTATACAAATAGAAGTATTACGTACAGGTAATGTAACTAGGCTCATTCCTACCAAACCACCAAAGCACAAAACCCTGGGAACATACAACCCTGGAAACATGGACCCAAGGATCACAAAACACTGAGAGCACAGAACCTTGGGAACATAGGCCCTAAAACACAAAACCCTAGGAACATAAAACTTTAGGAACACAAAACTCTAGGAACATAGAGCCCTGTGAACATAGACCCTAGGAACACTACACTCTGAGAGCACAGAACCCCAGAAACAAAGGCCCGAAGAACACAAAACTATAGGAACCCAGAACCCTGGGAACATAGATCCAAGGAACACAAAATGCTGGGAACACAGAACCTTGGGAACATAGGCCCTAAAAACATAAAACCCCAGGAAAGTAAAACTCTAGGAACATAGAACACTGGGAATATAGGCCCTAGGTACACAAAACCCTAGAAACATAGAACCCTGGGAACATAGAACTCTAGGAATACAAAACATTAGAAACATAGAACCCTGGGACCATAGAACCCTGGGAACAGAAAATCCTGGGGACATAGAAACCTGAAACATAAGCCTTGAGAACAAAAACTCTAGGAACATAGAACACTGGGAATATAGGCCCTAGGTACACAAAACTCTGTGAACATAGAACCCTAGGAATACAAAACCCTTGGAACATAGAACCCTGGAACATAGAACCCTGGTAATCTAGAACCCTGAAAATATAGGTACACTCTCTTATAACTTACCACTGATAGGAATGCTTCTACCTAAAAGAGTTCTGCCTTTGTCCAGCTGGTTGTCTGGACATTAATGCCCCTTTAAATGTTGTTGTCCACTGGAATCTTAATATTCAGTAAATGTTTGTTTCTTGTTTGTTCCTTATGTTGTCTTTCATATAAAGGTTTTTGGAAGAGATGATTTTCAACCTGGCGGATACGCCTTTAATTCTTATTATTCAGGTTTATTTTAATTATTTAACCTGACATTATTGTTTGAATACATGAAAAAAGATAAACATGAAAACATTTAGACATTTACACTTTTGCAAGTTCCAGTATTTATCAAGTATGTGAGAACAATCTTAACATACCTAAGTAGAAGTAACAGTATAACTTGAAAATACTCAGGAAAGTACAAATACATCAATATAAGTAGAGTAAATGGAGCTGGATACAATGCAGCTCTCTTCTGAAAGTGTATGGAATTAGGCTCCACTTTATACCATGCCGGCTGTCCCATGTGAATGTGACCCAGCCAGCCTCAGGTTCACCCCTCACCGGGCGAGACAGACACACACCCGCTCTGTAAGTGCTCCCGGGGGCAGATTTTACACTGATCCACATGAATCAGGCTGGGCTGTAGGATGGCGACCGTGACTGAGCGGCTGGAGCACAGCGCACAGACACCAACACACAGCACGACACGCAGACAGCCAGAGAGCATTCAGAAACACTAGAAGCTGACAAATTGGGCCGGCCGGAGGGGGGCGGGGGCTGGAGGTGGGCGCAGGCCGGGGGAGACTGACAGCGCATGTAAAATTCATAGTGTCCCCTGGGCTCGGAGGTAATACTTCACCAGCGAGGAACATTGTGGAGAAACAGGCACCCTGCCATTAAACGGCTGCTGACGGTAAAGCTGAAGCTTTAATGGACTGCCCACTTGTTCATAATGTAATGTATACACTCTGTTGTGACTTATCTTCATCTCAGGCCTTTGGGCCTTAAACATTACAGCTAAGACAACACAGCGTTAGGGTTATCACAGCATTAGGAGGGAGTTTGTGCAACAACAAACCATTTTTTGCTGAGCACAAAAGAAACTCTTTACCAAACGCAGCTCACTTACTTCTAAGTCATTGAAGAATAAATGCGTATCCGCCAGGTTGAAAATCATCTCTTCCATCCTCAGTCCCAAAGACACTGACGTCGGAGGATCCTGGAAAACACAAAACAGCCATTTTGTGAAGAATGTTTGATTGAAAGTGACAGAAATAGAACACAATCTGCTCTGAAGAATCCAAAAAGTTAACTCAATACCCATAAAACACTGATTGAAAACAACAACAGAAAACTTCTGACTGAACACGAAAGAAATATAATAAAATCTGATCCAGAGAATCTAAAATCGAACTCATTAACACTGACTGAAAACAAAAACAGAGAAATCTTGCCTCAGCATGGTATGATATGATAAAATCTTTTTCAAATAATCCAACATCCAACTCACTACCCACAAAATGCTGATCCTGAATATGACTCAAAGCTTAATTTGGATATTCTGATGTTTACATCTCCCTGAAACTTTCAAAAAAGGGTGAGTGGATGATCATGCCATTGCTTCAGCTTCTGCACCATCTTCTCTTTCCAAGCTCATCTTACACAGGATGCAGTTTATAGAAGCTCTCAACTAAAGAATTTCTCACAGCTGAGCTACTTTGAACATATAAGCTACTTTGGGATATATAACTATGAGCTACTGTGAGATTTGAGCTATTTTGAAAAAATATGGCCAATATAATCATAAAACCAACCACAGATCCATTTTCCACATAGATGACATGGCTGTTTCAGTAAGGTAAACATATCAGGAATAATGAAAATAATCATTCCTTTCACTAAAGTGTTACTCTTTTTTTTCTTTAGTAATTCAATCCCACCTGTGCAGGTGGCTGTGAGAAAGTCAATACAAAGAGGACTGACCAAACTCTGTGTAGTTTATAGATCTCACACTGAGCTTTGCATTCCTTTTAAATCTAAACATATCCAGGAAAAAGCTTGTCTTCAAGAAATTATGGCATGACATTACTTTACAGATCAGTAATAATTAGGTAATAATATAGTAATAATATGGTAATATTATGGTAACAAGTTGCACTAACCTAAAAAGTCCCTGCTAATTTCCTAGTTACTAAACGATAAGTCAGTAGTGGTAACAAAAAAAAAGAGTTGATAATAAAATAGTAAACAAGTGGTAACAAGTTGTACTAATCTAAAAATGGCAATTATCCAGTTGTATGTAGTGGTAACTAGTTGTTAATGAAATTGAAAAGTAATCGTGACAAAATCTAATTACCCATGAATAAAATGTTAATATTCCAGTCACTAATTCCAATAAAGTATTAGTACAAGTGTTACAGCAAAAGTGAGTAATTCTGCACAATTCATTGGTCTTTTTTTACAGTTAGCCAGGAACAGATGAGCTAGATATACTGAGATTCCACAGAATCAGGGCTTGAAATGCAACACAATGTTCCTTTTGTGTTACCTGTTAACAAAACAATGTTACTGTATTCTAAAGCACAGATCAGGCAAAGGGCTTCAAAATAAGTTCAGTGATGGGAAAACCTCCCCACTAAACTACACGTATCTTCATACAATGTTTATCTTTCTTTATCTTAACTTATTGACTAGAAATTAGCATGTAACTTTTAGATTAGCACAACTTGTTACATTATTTACATTGCAAAAAGTAACTGAATTATTTAGTAACAATTTGGAAATTAGCTTGTCATTTTTTGGTGAAGTCTAACTTCTCATCATAATATTATCATATCATTGCTCACTTAATACTGATCTGTAAAGTGCTACTGAAATTATCTCACAAGCAGAATTCCAGTGCTCTATTTCAGCACTCTATAGTTTGTTATTGATACGAGCTTCATTGATTAATTTGTGTAAAGTTGCTGTTTAATTTTTATGGATGTTAAGGTAAAGAGATGTCCCATTTCAGTCTATTCATCAGGGTGTAAGATACTGATATATTGTCTACAGTTATTTCAGCCAGTTGAAATTCTTGCAGCATCTAGCCAAACTGCAGCATTAAGGAAACGACTGCACTTATTAAGTGTGGATTCATACATTAGTCGATTACTTTCTTTTAAAGCTTGTTCTGTGATCTCCACCCACGGGATCAGGTTTCTAATCAGAGAACATTCCCCTGTTCTTCATTAATAGAGAGAGAGAGAGAGAGAGAGAGAGAGAGAGAGAGAGGAGGGCAGGTGAAGGAGAGGATTTGTTCTTGTTTGTGTGCTGAGTCAGGGTGTTCAGCTTCAGGGATTAGTCTTAAAGCCACCTGAAGAAGCACCTGAGCTTTCTCCTGATTGCATGTCGCGCTCAACAATGAAAATGTTTGAACTTCTGTGGTGGTGGTCGGGAGGAGAGGGTGGGGGGGGATCAGGGGGGTGGGGGTGGGGGTGGGGGTGGGTGAACCACACAGGCAGAGCAGAACACAACCCAGAGACACAGAAACAACCCAAAGTATAGTGTGTTTCATAAGATTGACTTTTCTTTAGCTGATTTTAGTATTGTATTGATGACGGATCAGTGATTTCTGAATGGTTTTTCCTAAACTGCCCTTAAAAGAAAAAAAGGATTCATCATAAGGATTTATTGGTAACACATCCTTATGTTGGCATTAATTAACTTCAAGCAATCGAGCGTTAGTACTGTGTTAGGCCTTCATTAATTACTTATTCACTACACTACATTTCTATGTTGATTAAAGTTATTGAAAATTAAGGTTTCCTTAATTTGTGTCATTAATTCATCAACTAATCAAGTGTTACTGTATTAGTCCATAAATGACCTGTCACTATAATAAACTACTATGATGACAAAGTGTAAAGACTTTGGAACATCTTGGGAACATGTGAATATGATCTGCATGTCTGTCAAAATGCATTGTTTTACTTATTGGTTTCTCATATGTTGTGTTACTTACTAATTATATTACTTATTATTCCTTTTTATTCTTTATTACTACTCCACTAGCAAAGTGAAAAATCAATGCCCTTACTCATACAATAAAACTACTTAAACCTAGTAGTCACTGGTTGCTTGTTATTGATACAGCAGTGTTAAAAAACATTATTTGTAGGTAAATTAGCTTCAGTTAAGCTTACACTGCTTGGTTGAAAAGCACATAAGCATTAATTAAGGAAGCCTTACCACATTCTTAATTTGAATGTAAGTTAATGTAACCAAGTTTTATTCTGGGTCATTTTCGATCATTTCTACTGGTCCATTCATGAAGACATGTTTGTATAAAGACCAAACAAAAACAAAATACAAGGTTTGACCTAACAGTGTAAATATGCTGCCTGTCAAAAATTCTTTTCATATCTTCTGAGCAGTGTTTGATTTTTCTGTGCTCAAACTTTTGACAGGCAGTGAAGATTACCGGTATAGAAGGTGTTGTACATAACCCCCCTCGACAGCCCTCTATATTAAATACAGTGGTAACCCTAACCGTGTACAGCTGAATGGCGTGTCAGGATGTGCCCACGCTGCTGTAATAATCTATTCTGAGCCTTGCAGTCAACGGTCTCATTATAAACGCCTGCGTATGCATCCGATGGTTAATAAAAGCAGGTTTGGTGGCGAGAGGAATGTAAAGTGCAGTCTGAATCCTCTCCAATTAAATCTAAACAATCAATCAGCAAGGGAGTTAAGAATACAAGCGGTCAGAAGGCCAAAGCCTGCGCTGCTGTCACTGCTTGTGTCCACACCTGTTGGCTTCTGTCAGAGCCGTCCACAGGGCGCCACGGCAACCCCCACCCAACTCCCCACATGCACCAAACCCCCCTCCATACCACCCCCAAAATCCCCTACGTTTTGGTTCCCTTAAAGAACCATGTTTGAAAATGTATGAGTTTCCAGACCCTTTCAAAGGTTTAAAGCTTCACATGAGGTAAAGTTACCAATTTTAAGGTTCTTCCTAGAGCCTTCACATTATGCAAAGGTTCTTTAAATGTTCCAAATGTCACTCATTTACAAAAATTATCCTGAAACCACTGAAAGTGTTTTTTTAGCATACCTGTAGACTTAATCCTAATAGAAACTGGCAGGTGGGTGATTGTAAAAATGTCAAATTTGGTTAAAACCATGAGCCAACCTGCCCCTCCATACTCTGAACTCTTATTATTTACATAAATACAGTTTTAATTTTTTCCTTATATTGCTGTTACTGTTGTCCTTTAAACATGGCAGCCAGTATTTATTTTATTATTTTTTTCTTTAAACATTCATCAGTTAACTCAACAATAATTTAAAACTCAGTCAAACCCCCACAAGTCTAATATTACACACTGCTGTCCTGGCTTTGTAAATTTTTCAATTTCTTAATGCAATCAAAAACAAACGCTGCACTCAGGAGAATTTTCTGTTGTTGGGATTGTTTAGATGCTGGATCGTGCTTAGCTACCATTTTGGTAGTCTGTTTATATGCAGCGTGCAAAATCTGGTCTTTAATTTGACAGGGATTGGCCAGTAGTGCTTGGCGGCACACTGCTAATATGTAGCTGTGTGGCCAAGCTGTTGTCTGGCATTAGCTATTGCTGTGCTGACATTGAGCATCAGACCAGAGGTCTTTATAACAAAATGTTACTTTTTGAATGTCTGTAAATCTATGAGATTTACATTCACAGATATGAGACTGCAAAAAAAAGTTAGGCTCACGTGTGCACCGTGGGTAAAGACTACACAGCTATGTGGCTTTAGGGAACCAAAAGTTGCTCTTGTAATGCAAAGAACCTTTTTGGCCCTTTTATTTTTGGGACTGAATTTAATTTCAGTTCAAACGTTTTTGTGACAACAGATGTTGTTTTAAAGAAGCTTTAAGATTTTATTTCTGCAATGAGCATAACCGAGGGCAACGGTGTGAGGATAAACTTTCAGAGCACAAGGAAGCACCTCTAAGAAGAAGAAATGGCTCAAAATTGGAACCAGTTTTGCTCTGATCAACGCTGGATTGCAAAATTACAGTCATGAGAGTTATAAGAATCATGAATATGAACAGGTAATGAATGTACCAGGTCTACAGTACAATACAACAGGTATACAATATCTAGAACAGGAGTTTGGAAGAGCATCAGCAGTCATCAGACACACACTGAAACATCCCCTCTTCACCCCTCTGTCCACTCAGTTGATTAGAGTCGTCAGCTTTAAGGAAGTGAGCTGAGTGGTCTTTACGCTGGTCAAGAAAACTGATCGCTAGAGCAGGGATGCCAATTCAGATCTATTTATAGAACCCACTCTACAACGACACCATAAAAACACTGTTTCAGGAATTTTCCAGCAAGAAAATGTCTATATATTAGATAAAATGTCTTTATCTGTATGCAATGTTTATGCAAATATATGCAAATCACCTTATAAATGTGTATGTGAATAATCATAAACTACATTAAGTATAAACAACAGCATAAACTACAGCATAAACAACAAGAACTATCTAACAGTCTATCAGTCTGTCTGTCTATAGTAAGTACCTGTCTATCTATCTATCTATCTATCTATCTATCTATATTACTAAGCATGAGTCAGAGATCATTATTATTATTATTATTATTATTATTTAATTTCAGTCAAAATGGCCAGTAAGTACAAATTTATAGTTTTCAGATGATATTTCTGAGGAGATTAGATTTAAGATAATCTACTTGCACAAGAAAGGAGAAAGTCAAAAGAAAGTAAGTAAAAAAAAACATAGTTTCCAAAATTGGAGTTCAAAAATGATTAAAAGCTGCAGAGAAAATAGGACTGAAAGGACCAGTAGACCACCATACCTGTCCCAATCAGATAAACAGCAAAGCTTTCATCTTTGAGAGAGAGAAAATCAAGCTCCACTCTTACTTCAGATCTGAAAAAAAATCCACAGGTGTTTCTGTCCATCCTACCACTGTGAGAAGACACTTAACACTATGGGCAGCTGTCAAGAATCCCTTTCTGAGGAAAGAAGAATATTTGCACTACAAGCTGAATATCTGAGATTTTATGGACTGAATGGTGAGAAGCAGAAACTGCTAAACAAACCTCTAAAATGGAACTTTGGAGAAAAATATCCCTACAGTTTTCTTTGAAAACTGAAAGTGAGTCTCCTGACAAGAATGGAAGCTGTAATAAAGGTAAAGGGTGGGCACATAAAATACTGAACAATCTGATATTAGATTTAGTTTTTGAGGGTTCTACTGAGAGAGAGAGAGAGAGAGAGAGAGAGAGAGAGAGAGAGAGAGAGAGAGAGCTGCGTCCGTTCTTCATGGCTGTGGGAGTCGAACTGTGTGAGAGAGAGTCTCGCTTTCTTACCCAGCATGCTCAGCCAAAGGCAAAGTAAATAAACAGAGAGGGGTCGAGGGGCAAGACTCTCTCACCCCAAAACCAAAACACCATTGCCATCAAACACCCTGAGCAGAGAACAAAGAGAACCAAACACCCTGCGCACGGAACAAAGAGAGCACACTGACCGCTCCTACAACACCCTCAGAACATCCACAAAAACCCTGAGCAACTTCGACAAACCTCAGCACTGTGGCGCTCAATCATCAGACCAACATGCCCAGCGATCTACAGCAGCCTCGCTGAGTTATTAGTGAAATTATAATCCGCTGATTTCACTGAACCGTCGTCCAACTTAAATAAACCTATGAGATCATAGCCGAGTCCTGAGAATCGCAGAATGCAGGATTTCCCAAATTGTTTGTTTTCGAAAGTTTAAATATAGATCGGGACGGTTTATATAAAATAACAAATACAATGAGCTCAAAAAGTAAACCTCATTCACTTTCTCATTCACCAATTCACAGCCCTCTGAACCTGCTAACATCGCTAACATTCCCATATACAGTACTGTTTAAGGCACCATTTGGTTCCCTACAGAACCTTTCAGTGGATGGTTCTTTGAAGTAAGACTTGCTGTGAAGGAGATATGCAAGCGTGAAGAACATTTCAAATTAAAAAAAAAAAACACCGTAAGCCTTTTGGAACCATAATTATCACTATTTTTAGAGTCTATCTAAAGAACCTCCACATAATGGGACCTCCACACCAAAAGCACACCATGTGATGTTTCTTTAAATTTTACAGAGGTTCTTCACTCCAAACTGCAACAAAACTTTTTTATTCATCTCTGAAACTAAAAACACCATGTTCATGCACAAGCCCAATGGAGAAAAGAGCCAAATGTCATTATATGAAGCATTAAAAAAGTTTTCTAAACTTTAAAAAGATTACTGCAATTCTTCTTTCAAAGAACCATATTTTGAAAGACTTTATAATAAATCAATAGTGTTTTTTTGTGTGGCATTCCTTCAACAAAATATCTTTTGCCGAAACATCTTTTTATACAAAAACTATAAAAAAGGACAATGATTGCTGTATATTTCCCTCTGTATGTAGTAAAGCAGGCCACTCTGGGGAAGTTCCAGCAGGCTAATCTCACTGAGTGGGTTTGGTTTGGAGAGCACTTAATTAAACTAACAATGAAGTATTTCTGAAGGACAGAAAAAAAACCCTTAAGAAGTGTCAATGGACATTCGCGGTGCAACTGTTTTGCGGCCCACGCCCGTACCAGCCGCATAGCAGGGACAGCTGCAGGCCGAGCCAAATGCCTGGAAGGCCTCGTCGGGCCTATTAAAAAAAGAAACAATTATCTGGACACAGCAGAGAGATAGAGCATGCACCCAAAATGGCCTTCTTCCTGTATATTTTTGTAAGCCCCACTGCAATATTGACCACTGTTCTCTGATTAACCCTACAATGCCAAGGCAAAGAAATGAGCGTTCCATTTCTGCCGTTTATTTTCTAAACCCAAAGCACAATCTGAAACATACTAGCACATTTGCAGTACTTTCTGTTAGCCAATCTTGTAATGTAAACAATATTATGTGCTCTTTAATGAGCCAAATAGTGTAAATTCATAATGAAAAATTAGTCACTTAAATCAAAAGTAAGAGGCAACTGGCTATTTTGGTCATCTCATTTGGTTATCTCATTTATCAACAAACAAACTGAGAACCATTATGAGCAGCATATGAACATGAAAATTGTTGCTGTCAAGCAAAACCATGTCTCCAATTTTGACGGTTTTGACTTTTTTGTATTATTTAGAAATTCCAGTTGACCTTTGCGTTGTGTTAACATTTCATAATGAATGGAGCAATAGAATCAGTCCAAAAGTACTTGCAGATACAAAAAAAAAATGCAGTTACATGAACATTCTTTACAAGTTAACCATCTGGGGTCTGGGGGCATTTTCTTGATTTTTGCATATATTTTAATGCACCTTTAAAGGCACTTGCATACTACATAATATCTACGTTATACATCAAAATGTTCAGAACAATCTCAGCTCTCTCTGTAATGAGGCCGGAGCTCTCTGTAAAGAGATAATGCGACCCTAAAGCTGAAAAATTGAAGTCCGGTATTAGAAATTTATTGCTTTACTGATGTGGAAGAGTTGTTTTGGTGCTTAAAATGGGTTCACCAAGGCCATAGATTCACAAAAGTAGTGGAATGTATACATAAAATAGTACTTCAATGTTATCCTCATCGCAACTTCAGTGGCTGCAAACTTTTTACACACTATTTCACATCTGTATCCGAGGCGACTGAATGAAAAATGAAAGATTTCCAACATGATAGGTCAGGTCTTAGTGATTTCCTGAGTGCCCATTGGTCATTGGTGTTTTATGCAAAATATAGACGAACACATGAATCCACCAAATACAGGTTACAGGCAGATGATGGATACACAAATCCACCAGTTACACACAGTGAGAGGCAGACAGTGTGTTTCAACTTCTCTTAATTGGCTCATAACTCTGAAGGTGAGCCACATACGATCTAACAATAAGATGGAATTGGAAGTGCAGAGCCTACAGATTTAGGAAATGTTTGAAACATATTTCTGTACTGTATTATCACAGAAATATTAACACACAGAGAAACATCTAATTTTCTAATTAGTTGCTTTCACTACCACATGAATTGCGCTCTGCATGTGTAGCTCAAAAACCAGTGCAGTGCATCCAACAATAAAGGCAGCAGTTTCTTTTATACAGTGATAGGAAACACTGCAGCTCCCAAAAAGCTTCAATTCCACACGCTGATCCTTTTTACTGACCAACGTGGACATGCATGCTCACCAACTACTCTCGAGGCAAATTTTAACCCCTTGAGCCCTAGACCTAATGCAGCTATTTATCTTATATTATGATAATAAATATGAAATATGAATGAAGAAGACTTGTTTCTATAAATAATTAAAAATAGTTGCTATAAATCAAATTATACAGAGAGAAACTAAATTGTGGGTCCATATATGGGCTCTTGGAGGACAAATGCTGTAGCTTTAATAGGGTTAAAATACGTCACTCACCCTTCCGTATCTGTTGGCGTAAGACCCCGTGAGTAAGGAATGGAAAACGATGATTGTTTCATCCAAGTCCCAGATGAACACGCGCTGGCGAAAGAAAAAGCTAAATCAATGCTGTGCTCTGTAGCATGCAAACTGAGCCGCATGTCAATATCTGCAGCGTGCATGAGTTTAGGAGCCTGGGGAACTGGAAGGACGCATGGTCACTAGTACCAAAACCACCATGACCATACCATCCGTCTGCTGCATTAACACAATCAATAACGACAAACTAATTAAGCAGATATGTTAACATGCCATGATGTTGACTTGCTAATGGGTGCAATCAGCTGGAAGCTTTAGGTCATGTTATTGAAAAGGTGAAGCTGTTTCTAATTAGCATAATATGTAGTATATAGTATATTGTATAGCTATAGTTGCTATTGAACAAAACCTTGTCTCCCAAAAACTGAAATGTACTCATTCTTTCAAAGTATATGAAGGAAAAACAGATTTTATTTTAAGTCATTTTGGATCATCTCTGTTGGTCCGTTTATCTTGACATTTTGACTGTGACTGGCATTTTTGAACTATGTCAAAGAAAAGAGACAAAAAAATGGAGATGTAAGGTTTAAATACAAATTGACTTGGAAAAAAGTCTGGAGATACATATATATATATAAAACCTTGTATCTCCAAAATGCACCTAATTTACTTTTAATGTAAGTCAATGGAACCAGACTTTTTACCAAGTCATTTTGGGTCATTTCTTTTAGACAATTCATCATGAAATTTACATATGATGTAAAGGGCACCAAAATAATAAAATAAGCCCCTTACATTTTTATATTTTATGTAAAAATACATATATTAAAATATTTATTTCTGTATTTTATGGTTAAAAAACACTGAAAACCCAAACAAAGTGATTTACAAGCTTAACAAGTGATTCTGATTAGTTTTTTAAAAACACTGATGCATTTTGCTTGGTACATTTTGCTCAGCTGATTAATACTTAATCTTATATAATAATAAGCCTGAACAATGAAAAACCCCTAATAAGTGTAAGAGATTAATGGAGCCAGACCCTTTTTCTTTCCATGCTGTGTAAATCTGGCTGAGTTTCAATACCTCAAGGTCAGAGTCTGGCGGTGGAGACGGGTTGTTATTCCTTCTCCCTCGGCCACGTGACTTTCCATCCGAAGCCCGACGCAATCGATCCGAATCTGAATCTTTAATGGGGGTTGATGGACTGTGGATTGTACTGTACTCTCCTGCAGGAAGAAAAAAGAAAAAGTAGCATATCAAAAGAGGGAAATAAAAAAAAAAAGCCTTTCACCTTCAGAACTGAACGCTGCAGCTGGATCCATTTACCTCTCCTGAAGCCCAGGGCTGAAGCTACTGTAGATGCTAATATTCTGTTTATCTGATCCTCTTACACCCCTGATACCATTTAGGCTGCAGTAATGGCTGTGGGGAGCACGCTGTGTTACGCCGGGCCTTCGCTATCTGCACCGTGTCCGCTAATTACTCAACGCAACTACAAAGCAGAGCTTCAGCTTTAATAAGCTACTGGAAATGCAAGTGCAAATGAAAGAATGAAAGAAGCGTGTAGAGGGAAAATAAACAGCTCATTTGCAAGTTGTGGTCGGCAAAGTAATAGCAGGAGTCTGCTTGGAGCACATGCCAGAAGCTCTGTTTACGGCCGGCGAAATGAGGCCCAAACAAACAGGTCTCTTTTATCAACTGCACTGAAACTGAGAAAGAGCGCCTGAAATCTGAAATCATTTCTCTGAAGCTACTGGTTTATCTTTAAATGCTCTACTTATAAAGAGAGTGTCTGGTTGAACTGATTCAGCAGGGGGTTAGAATTAGGACCAAGTCTAAGATTGGAAATATACTTGGGTTTACAGATAGCATGAATCAGAAATCATAAAGCATTGCTCTTTTGTACTGTGATGTAAAGTTTCCCTCCATGATAGGTGGGTGTGGTAAAACATGATATTCTCGATTAATATTATTTTGCCCCGCCCACTGGTGCATGGTGACATAATCAAAAATCAAAAGACGTTGAGGCAAGACAAAAGTCATTACATCTGTAAGGAAAACAACAATGTAGTCTTTTAAATATATGATATGATGAATCATGCTTAATATGACCAGAAACATGAATTACAACTACTTATCAACAAATTAGTCTGAGTATAATTTATTTTCTAAAAGTTATACTCAGTTGGACGTTCCGACAGTACGGTCTGAATGTGGCAATGCAGCTTTAATTGCAGTGCTCCATCTGCATGAAATGATCTGCAGAAACATTTATAATTGGAGCAATTTGTCTTCTTTACCAACATAATTGTTAAAGAATAGTATCATTCTGTTTGTTCTTGTTTTTAATTTGATTTTTAATTCTAATTTGATTTTGTTGTTGGTGGTGATGTTGTTTCCTTGTTGATTGTCTTTGTGGCTGTTGTGTGCTGCCTTCTTGGCCAGGGCTCACTTGTAAAAGAAATTTTTAATCTCAACATGGTTATCCTCGTATAATAAAGGTAAAATAAATTTTTAAAAAATTGAAAATGATTAGATTAGCATGAGCGTCATCTTGCATTCCTGACTTCTACCTACTGTCAGAGAGTCTAGAGGGATCCGTTGCTCAACGCAGCTAAGAATTGTCTATTTTGACAGAACTGGGCCATTAGACTGATATGTAAGGGCCGAAAAATACAAGAAAAACAGACTCACAGGAAACACAGTGGATTTCACATAAAGTGGTGGTAAAGTCTTTAAAACTATTAAATAACTCTTAAGTGCATGATGTTGTTATCTTTTTTCAACCTAGCAACTAAATCTTGCTTTTAAAGGCTGATTTTTGCACAGCAAAAGAAACTGCTGGCTACTGTTGACAAGCTGGCACTGCAGTGCGCACAGGCAATTACAGTATAACTAACAGACTTCAATAACTGAGGCCTTCTTAATGACAGTAAACATCAGTCAGCGGTTGTACCTCTGTGGGCGGAGCTTCTGAGACTGAAACTAGAGTGAGTGTAAGAAAAAGATTTCATTCATTCATCAAACTGAAAGAACAATAATCTGCCTCCTTTTCTGCTAATATTATTTGAAGTTCAAATGTAACTTAATGACAAGATAAGCATCTGCAAACATACTAAGACTATCCAAATGTAAGTTGTACCAAGTACTGACCTCTATTAGACTTTAGATATGTAATTTTCTCTCTGTGAATTTGGCTCATACTGAGTGTGATTGCTGCACCATTGCCTTTATAAGGCTGAAAGTGGTTTTGTGCTAATGCCTGCTGTGTTTTCTCTGGCTCTGCAGAGAAAAAAAAACACAGCTCAAACTGAATCAGCCAATCACTACAGCAGTGCACAGTTATAGGCTTGCACCCCGCCTCCATTTCTCCAAGGTAATTTGATTTTAATTCTTCATAACTGACAGTAGTATTCCGACGTTACTCAGCCGAGTGGTCGGAGGAGGAATGCACGGCATGGCTGTTTCCCTGCCAAGAGCATTCATGAGCTGGACTAGCAGGCATACTGCTGTCCAACAATGAATGGCAATGTTTTCCATTGAAGTGTTTGACCTCCAGAATAGCACCGGACATGCAGAAACAATAACATGGCATTATACACTGTTAACAAAATGTATTGCTATACTTTAAATGTGCTCTGATATATTTGGATTAGATTTGTGTAAGATATTCCCTTTCAGTTTGAGCATTTTAAAGGCAAGTGCAAAAAACTGCAACAAAATTTCTGCTATATTTAAATAATTTCACCAAAACATTTGATACAAAGAAATATTTGCACCAAGGCTTTAGCTACAAGGAAACTTTTGCACCAAAACTGCTACAATGTAACATTTGCACCAAAACTTCTGCTACAATGTAACATTTGCACCAAAACATATGTTACAACATAACTTTTGCACCAAAACATATGCGACAATGTAACTTCTACACCAAAACATATGCTACAATGTAACTTTTGCAGCAAAATATATGCTACAATGTAATTTTGCACCAAAACTATCTACATTGTAATTTGTGCGCCAGAACATATGCTACAACGTAACTTTTACACCAAAACATATGCTACAATGTAACTTTTGCACCAAAACATATGCTACAATGTAACCTCTACACCAAAACGTATGCTACAATGTAACTTTTGCAGCAAAATATATGCTACAATGTAATTTTGCACCAAAACTATCTACATTGTAATTTGTGCGCCAGAACTCTTGCTGCAATGAAACCAAAATTTTACATTTTTACTACTCTGAAATTTTGCACCAATGTATGTATTGCAATGAAACTTTAGCTACAGTGAACTTTTTTTGCATCAAAACATGTTACAATGTAACTTTCGCACCAAAAATGTATGCTACAATGTAATTTTTGCAACAAAACCATCTTCAATGTATCTTTTGTACCAGAACTCTTGCTGCAGGGAAACTTTGGCACCAAACATTTAGCCACAGTGAACTTTTGCACCAAAACATGCTACAGTGTAACTTCTGCACCAAAAACATATGCTACAATGTAATTTTGTCCCAAAACTATTGTCGATGAAACTTTTGCACCAAAATTTTACATTTTTTACTACTCAGAAATTTTGCACCAAAACACCAAAACTTTTCTACAATGTAACAACTTTTGCACCAAAACTTTTATTACAATGTAATGTTTGCACCAAAACGTATGCTGCAATTAAACTTTTGTACCAAAATGTTAACTACAATGCAATGTTTGTAAATTGCTTGGTCATCCCACACCTGGTCAAATGAGAGGTGTTCATGTTTAAAAACTGTTCATATTTTCCACCAAGTACATTTTGAAGAGTCTGTTACTAGCTTTCATAATGAAATTCTTAAAAACCCTCTGGAACAGATGAGCACCAAAACTCGTTGTGGTGCAAATTTGGTTAACAGTGTGTTGGTTTTACCTGCAGGCTGGTCAGTGAGTGCTTGGCTGGTGACGGACGGGGGCTCCTGCAGGATGTAGGTGGCAGTGGTGGACGGAGTGGTGGGGCTGGTGTTGTTGCTGGTCATGTAGGGTGATGTGTAGGGGCTGCTGTTGTAATACTGTGCATACTGGCCCTGTCCAAATGCTGGGTAGGAAGGGTAATCCTGCATAAAAACATCAGAGCCGAAACGTGAGCTAGAAGCGCTCAGGGATGCTGCTACTTCCCCGAACCCATTACAAAAAACGTAAACGCCAACACATGTCTCTGGAGGGCTACATCTGGAGACAGCGATCTGTCTTCTTTTTCTTTTTTTCCCTCTCGGCTCGTGGCATAATTCATATGTGCGAAGAGCAAGAGGTAATCCATGTCTACAGCGGTCAGGACATTCAGAGTGATTCATATCATGTGGGTAATATGCAAGTGTACACATGTCCTCCTCTAAAGGCTTCCAGAAACCCGGAGGAGAATCCAGCATGCACATGCCGACATCAGACGGCTCTGTACAGGCTGCAGTAAAAGCTGGAGGAAATACATTTACAGCACACCCTGTTTATGGATGAGAAAACCCAAAGTTAGAAAATTAGATCATGGCTACCTGTTGTGTACTATTGAATCCAGTTGAGTTTGTGAGCGAATTGCTTCCTGCGTACAGTCCGGATGTTGTTGTAAAACTGCCTCCTGCAAGAGCAAGAAACATAACCGTGAATTTATGTGAGAGAACAGCACAGCACAGTAACAGATGATATGATGTACATTTATAGATGTTAATGGTACAATATTTAAATAGTTACTATATTGCTGCTGTCATATCAAAACTTTATCTTTTTTAAACCATTTGAAAACACCAGATGTTGATTTCAAGTTGAATGGGCTAGTAGGAAAAGTCCAAAAAAATGAGATAAAAAGCTTTGTTACAGCAGGAACAATCAATAATATGCACATAGCACAATATGCAACTGTCTTAATCTTTTGAACCAAAACTGTAGCAACAACAAAACCTTTGCACCAAAACTCTTGCTACAATAAAACTTTTGCAAACACCAAAGCTTTAGCAACAATGACATTTTTACACCAAAACCTTTGCTACAATGAAATTTTGCACCAAAACTCTTGCTACGATAAAACATTTGCACTAAAGCTCTTGCTACAATGAAACAGTTGCACCAAAACGTTTGTTACAGTAAAACATTTGCGCCAAAGCTCTTGCTGCAATTAAACTTCTGCAGCAAATCTTTAGCTACAATTACGTTTTTGAACCAAATCTATTGCTACAATGAAAAACTTGCAACAAAACTTTTGCACCAAAATTCTTGCTGCAATGAAACAAGCTGTAATGAAAACTTTTCAACAAAATCTTTGCTTTAATGAAACTTTGCATCAAACCTAATTGAACTAAATAAAGTAGCTAAGCAGCCAATGAGACTTATTGCCATTCATAGCTAAAGATTTTTAAATTAATTTATTGCTTTCACTCTTGCTGTCACTAAGCATACATGATTGACAGTATGTGGGTGGAGTTTGTAGTTTAAATGACTATTTCAGAGCTGCAAGGTTTTGTCACTTCAATGAAATGCAGTCTCAAATGGTGGAACAGCTTATACTATATGCATTTATAGCCTCAAGCGATGCATGTCTGCATTAGTGAGGCATTAAAGAGCATTAAAGAAGGACGTGACAGACAGGAAATGATTCTTAGGGTGAAGTGGAGGTGAAACCCTGCATATAAACCTGCTCCAAAGCCAAAACGCTGGCAGGTAAAATGGGGGCATGAAGGGTGTTTGAGGTTTGAGGGAGATGAATAACAGTGGCTTTATCTCTTCTCTGCCCCTATCAGTGATTTCATCTGGACTGATGGTGGAGAAGAAAAGGGGCTGGTGGGGGGGGTTTGGGGTGTGGAGTGTTTTATCCATTGCTATCTCCACAATGGCCAAAACAGTGCCACTGTTGTATGTAAACCACTGAAGGATGGTGAAGGAGTGGCGGATTTTACCTAATTTCTTGCCCTCAAAGTATACACACGTCCATCTTCTCCTCACAGCTCAAAAGAAGCACCTTCATTCTCTCTCAGTTTCTGAGTCATACAGGTAGCAAGGAAATCAAAATCAAACATATACAGTTTTATCTTTACCCCAAATGTAGTCGATCAGCTCAGACATGTTTGGTGTCTGAAGTTTGTTGTCATATGATAATGTTGTCATTTTTTACTTGTTTACACCGTTTGAACATAAGCTGTTGCTTTCATGGTGAATGGGCCAACAGTAAAAGACCAAAGTTAATAAATCTTGGTACTTTCTACTTTAAAGTTTCTGAGATAGAAAACTTTGTTACAGCAGCAACAATATGTAGCATGTGAGAGTTTCATTTTTTTATTTATTTATTTATTTATTACTCTTATTATTGGTGTAATTTGGCACCCCATGCCTGGCAGTTTGTGAGTGGAGTTTGTAGTTTAAATTGCTTTGTTATTTTGTCACAACATCAGCAACATGCATTTTTACAGTCTCAAACGTCTGTGTTTTGAGACGACATAGTGCCAAACGCCTCAATGTAGTTCCCGCTACGTCGATCTTTATTCAAAAAATCTCTTTTTATCATCTTTTTTTTGCATTGATAAACCAACTTTTCCAGCTCATCCGAGCGTGAAAACTCAATTTGTAACATTTATGCATTTTTTAGAATGTCTGGCTTTTCTATCCATTTTTTAATGCAAATTTTCCACACAAGAGGTGGGTGGAAAAGCCTTTACTGACAGGCAAAGTCACATATGTAAGGTTAGAAATGAAAAGACTTTATTAATTTGCCATATTAAGATTGTAGAACATGTCATTTGATTCCAACTTTTGCCTATGACTGTAAATGTTGTAATGAACATTGCGCTTGAACTAGCAACATGCTAAGCTGACACAGCAGCTTGCAAGGCTTAAAATGATCAGCAACCTGAAAATAAGGACCGAAAATATATAAATGACCCATGCTAATGCTTTCATTTCAGCGATATGTCAGCGTGAAAATATTTTCCCAGAAGTTTATTCCCGCTTTGGTTGGTTAACTAATATCAACAGGCTCTAAACTAATGAACAGCTGCTCTCTCTCTCTCTCTCTCTCTCTCTCTCTCTCTCTCTTTTTCTTTTCTTCATATAGTCTGCCAGGTCTGCTTCACAGGAGCCCTGAGAACTAGCCGGCTCCTGCCTGAGAAACGCACAAGAGATTAATTTACCGGGCTTAAATAAAAGAGTAATTACACCTTTGTTCAGGGAAACAAACAGAGGGCGAGTCTTTCATCCTGTGGTCATCAGCAAGAAATCCACCCCCCCCAACCCGCACTCCCGCCCCCTTTCCGAAACCGTAACAAATGTGAAGCAGCTTTGCTAGCATGCCAGTGTGTGGCCCAGCGCACCAGTATGGCCACTTTAATGTCCCCGTGATTAAAGAGACCTCTTATTTACCAGATTTGACCAGACATTTCCACAATGGAGTGTGCTCAAAATGCCTCTTTCTTGTGTCTCTCATTGTCTCTCCTTCTTTGTTAATGTGCTAAGAAGGTCAGGGAGCAGAACAAAAATGAAAAAAAAAGACGTGCTCACATAAAGAGCAGCACATCAAACTCCCATTGCACACCAAATTAGCTAAACCTACAGTTCAAAAAGTCATAAAAGCAGGGGGCTGCGAGACGGCCGTTGACTCTGGAAAGAGTGCGGAGCCACATGAAAGCCCGGCAAGACCCCCTCCTGTCCATGAAGAATGACTCCATGCTGGGGAAAGGCCTGGTCGTTCCCTGGGACCAAAAAAAAAAGCAAAAGAAAAATCCCCCACTCTGTCGTGCTCCACTTAGTTCACTCAGGACGAGACACCGACTCTCCAATTGCGAGTCCATTTGCTGTGCTTGATCAGTCCTTCTTGCCATGGGCTACGTCTATCATCAGTGCACAATATTTGTAGCAGAAGTTTCGTACGCCTCTCCGGGGAACGGACGATCAAGTCCAGATGGACTTTAAAAAACAGAAAAACAAGCAGTGTGCTGACTTATTCTCATTGTGTCAAGAGTAGAGACCAGATTACTGCTACAATCACCATCTACTAAAGTGAAAATCAATGAAATTCTACTCTAGTCTCACTGAACAACATAGAACTCACTCTGTACATATGAAACTTTTACATCATTTCTACATATTACATCAACACAGTTTTATTGTCCTTTTGGCAATAACTGTGTCAATAATATATTTCACTCAATAACTGTGTCAACTATATATTTTACTCATGTGAAAATAAAGCGCATTTGAATCGAGTAAAATCAATGTGTCAATCTCCAGCAGCAACTTTTATGAAGAAGCTGAAAACATTATAAACTTTGTATTTAAGTTAAAGTAAGAAGATTATGGACAACCCACTTCTGTTGGTTTGTTCATTATGCAATTTTAACTCAACATAAAGGCAACTAACATCATAGATGGTTTTGACATCCATCAGCGTATCAATATTAAAATCTATAGAAAATGTTTCAATAACTAACACCATCCTTCACATTTCTCAATCACAGCAGTGTAACAGAGTGGAATGTTGTTAGAAATGAAAGTGCAGAGCAAAAGCATTAATCTAATAGTATTCCCTCTGACAGCTGCACGCAGGCTGGACATACTGAGGGGGCTTCAGACTGGGGAATGTATCATATGGAGGTGGGGGTGGGGGCTGGACCAGAAGTGACCAAGCGTGACCACTGTGTTCAGGACTTTTCTCCTACATAGATTTCACTGTTTTTGTTATTTTTTGTTTGAGTGCAGATGTAAATCTGTCCGTACTAGATGTAAGGGGAACGCTCATGAGTGAACTTTAAGTTGGCTTGATAAAGCTGTTGCTATGGAATCCCAAGTCATTGCTAAGGTGCTGCTAAGCCACTGCCATGTTGTTCCAGATGGTTGCTAAGGTCTTACTAGGCTGTTGCTATGGTATCACAGGTGGTTGCTAAGGTGTTGCTAGGCCATTGCTATGGTATCCTATGTGGTTGCTAAGGTGTTATTTGGCCATTGCTATGGTATTCTAGGTAGTTGCTAAGGTATTGAGGCCATTGCTATGGTATCCCAAATGGTTGTTAAGGTGTTGCCAGGCCATTGCCATTTTATCCCAAATGGTTGCTAAGTTGTTGCCAGGCCATTGCTATGGCATTTCAAGTGGTTGCTAAGGTATTGCTAGGCCCCTGCTATTGTATCCCAGGAGGTTGCTAAGGTATTGCTAGGCCTTTGCTATGGTATCCCAGGTGGTTGCTAAGGTGTTGCCGGGCTGTCGCTATGGTATCACAAGTGGATGATTTTTTTTTTCATGTATAATAAGTATTTGAACAAGTGCTGTTCGAAAAACGGACATGCGATCTGTCCCAAAAGCACAAGCACACTATTCCGTATACAATCTATAATCCTGCGAAAGTTTCGTGGTTCTAGCCTGAAAACTTTAACCTGTCCAAAAAGCTAATTTAATAATAGATAAATGTAATTAACTATATAATATATTACCCGTTTATTGTGTTATTGATTTTTTGTTGTTTTTTGTTTTTTCAGAAAAATAATCAAACTCCTTTTGAAGACCAGAACTGGACACTCATTTTCCTTGTGTTGGTCTGCCTGATCGATACAAATAGCTGAGAGCTAAACGAAGCTGACCGGTCGGGCTGGTTAATGGTCATCTGTCTCCTGTCCCTGCAGCCAGCGGCTAATGTGTTTATCGGTGTGTCTGTGTGTTTGTGAGCCTGTCAGGCGCCAAGCAGCAGTCAGACAGACCCACAGTAACACTGACCAAGCCACTAACAGCACAGAACGCTGTAGTTGAGAGTAAAGGCTGTTACACTTTGCAAATAAACACGGTAAAACTGAATAATGTTCTAAAATAATTTTTAACACAAAACTATGCGCTCTGGATGTAATGTGATTTTAAACCAGTCCTTGGGAAAAGTACAGGTTGCCAAGATACAAGCAATTCAATTCTTCCTCTTGGTAGTGAGTCCTCTTGGTTCTCGCTATACCAACATTTTTCTGCTAAACTTGAACAGTTTTGTCAACATTCATAAAATATTATGGACAATTTCTGTTTCCATAGCTGATATCAACAAACCTTTAGAATCATTCAAATGTTTTTAATAAAAAAAAATCCTTAGGATAAAAACATAGCTCTTTTCATTTGCATGTGGTGCATGAGCTCATTAGACATGTGTTAGAATAAATTTACTGTCAAAATAAATAACATGGATCAGACGGGCAGTGAGACGAAGAAGAATCTGCAGCATGTCAACCTTTGTGAGCCGTTTATTTGTTTATTTGTATATTTCTTTAGGAACATCACTATACTGTACATCAAGGCTGCCAGAATTGTAGCTCATAGGCTAAAGATGGCCTGGGAGGACATTAGCTTCTTAACTGCCTTTTAAAATGGTATTTTTTAACTATTTTAGTAAAATATATAAAATACAATTCTAAAAACTTGAAGTCTACCTACGTTTTTATATATATACTGTTTTGTATTTCTGGCCTTTGGCCTACCAAAACCAATACATTTTGGGCTTCCAGGATGAAAAGATTTTGCACCCCCACATTTTTTGTATTTAAAATGATCATAGCTCATGTAGATCCAGATTGTTTGAATGATTTGGTGCCTTGTGTGAGGATTAACGGCCGGTTTAACCCCTTCCATTGGCAGGGGTGGCCAGCAGTAGAGTCTATTTAGCGAAGCGGTGAAGAAGAGAAGGAGCGTCCATGGGCCACATTTGCCACTGCGCAACATTATTTATTGTGAGATGCTCTGGAGAGTTTTCAAAAACATGTGGAGATGTTTCTACTGTCACACATTATTTGGGGTTGAACAGCCTCAGCACTGTCGCTGACTGTGTCTGTGAGTCTAGCAGGAAAATGCTGCAGGCAGAAAGAGAGAGAGAGAGAGAGAGAGAGAGAGAGAGAGAGAGAGAGAGAGAGAGAAAGGGAGGGAGAGGGAGAGGAATAAAGTCCCTAACAAAAACAATGGGTGGCAGGCAGGCTGCCTGATCTTCTCTCAGATCCCTGAAGGAGTGAGAGCTGGTGTTCCCTCTTAAACAAACACACTTAAGAACATCCATGGCCGAGCACTGAGCCAAGCCGTGGAGAAAAGACTGGTCTTTCCTTAAATTGTAAAATGCAGCTATTTTTCCATCTGTGTTGATTTCTCTGAAAACCCAAGGAAAAAAAGACAGTGCCATATGTTCAGAGACGTTCTGGATCAGTATGCGGCTGCCATTAATTGTCTGCCATCTTTGAAGGGGCCCAGAGAGAAACCACAGCATGAAGAAGAAGAAGAAGAAGAAGACTTTCTAGCATTAGTCATTTCTTTATTTCATCTCTAAACTGAGTGCCTCTGTTTACCGTTATATCTTTGTTATCCTAATTTATACTAATTGTACAATCCAGGATATCCTAGAGGAGGACCAGTTCACCTTTTAGGTCCTAGTTCCTCTCAGAGGTTCCTAAAGAGTTTTCGGAGTCTCCATTGGCCACTGGTCATCTCTGCATTCACATTTCTTGAAAGCTATGTATTTTGTGCTATGTAAATGGAAACATAACTGAAATTAAATATATTGAAGTTTACAACGAAGAATACAGCTGTCCTGAATGTATGATTGGTCTATACTTCATAGTCTCATAAAGCAGTTGAGAAGCCAGAAGAAGATTTAAAGGAAGAGGAGAGGAATAAGAAGATCTGTACCTTGCATTTGGTAACTGTAGGGTGCCTGTCCCGTCTGTGGTGTGGAGAAGCTGGAGCTGTAGCTGAGGAAGCTGCTCTGGCCTGGAGATTGGGATTGGCTCAGCCCGCTTTCTGTCTTGATGCCTGCCCACAATGGACCTAAATCAGTTAGTGACACCATAGCCATGATGCACAGTCCTCAGAGCCACTTCCTTCACATCAAACAACAACAACAACACGCAACAGCCGGTCTAATCGCAGGGCAGTGGTTTAAGCTAATGGTGAAGCGAGTGGAGAAACAGGCTAGAGGCTTAGAAACCCATAGAAGTCACAGTTACAGGAGAAACATGCTGAAGTCTTACACGACTGTGCAAAAGTCAGAGACCACCCTTCATTTATTTCACAGCCATTAAGTACAAATATTCATTTTTCAATATCAAGAAAAAGAGCAGAAAACATACACTGTAAAAACAGTGTAAAATGTACAGTAATTTACTGTAAGTACTGTATATTCAAGGTAAATATTTTATGGTATTTTATAATTTACAGTACTTTACTAGAAACCCTGCCTTTGTTGTTTGTTATGTTACTGTAAACCAATGCACTGCTCTAAATGCTCCCACTCCTAAATTTTACGGTATGATCCTGTAAAATAACACACCAGTATTTTACTGCAAAATAAATACTGTAAATTTGCAATTTACATTTTATAGTTTATCAGAAAATTACATAGAAGAAGAAAAGAATTTCTGCTTCTCACAATCAAAGTAATCCCAAACACTTTCAGTGATGTCAAGGTCTGGACTCGGGGGTGGTCTGTCCAGTGTTCTGAGAACAGCAGTAGCTTCTTTGTTTGATTTGTCTGTTTCCTTTTCTCAGTAAGAGCTTCTTGACAGCTACACATCCTTTCAGACATAGTGTTGAATTGTTTTCTCACAGTGGGAGGATGGACAGAAACACCTGTGGGTTTTTTCAGATCTGAAGCAAGAGTGAAGCTTGATTTTCTCCTGTAAAATGAAAGTACTGTCTATCTGAGGGGGGACAGTTTTGGTGGTCTACCCAGTCTTGCATGGTTGTTAGGAGTCCTACTATCTCTTGAATGATGAATTATTTGTACCTAAAGGCCATTTTGATTGGAAATTAGATAAATGGAGGGTGAACTTAGACTTCTGCGCAGCACTGTATGTGATTTATTTTATAGCTTGTTAAAAGAAGTGGATACATTGTGTGGAAAGTGCAGTTTCAACACTACATTTGTGTTTGTAAGTAGAAAAGCAGATATTTTATTATTATTGTATTTTATGAACTTATGAACAGTGTTCATTACATAATTAACTATGTAAACAATTATGTTATTACATTTAAATAGTGTACTTCTAAGGGTTAACTGAGTTATTGCTATCAAACGCTTTGCTGTATATGTTGCTATAAAGACTTCCACACATTTTTGGTCTTAGTTGAGCCGGAACATTTCTGTGATTAGATTGAATCAGGCCTGCTGCAGGTTTACGATTTGCACCCACTCAAACTTTTGAACTCCTGAGCATATTTCAGATTGTTTGGCTCTAAACCGCATTATCTCTCAGCATTCTTTCAGCGCTTTTTAAGTACGCACAATCCCAAGAACAAACAAGAGAACTTTTTCAGCGTGTGTTCTGTTCTTTCAGTGGCTGTGTAAACTGTTTTTGTTTTGGTATCCTTTTGTCTAATCTTTGGCCCTCGGTCTAACTCGCACAAAAGAAAAGCTCATGAGCTGGCCGGTCAAAAACAAAAGGTCAGCAGAGTCCCAGTGTTAGAGGGAAAAACACTATGATTTCCTAAAGTAAACATGAACCTTATCTGAATGATTGCAAATCTGCCGCACAGCATAATTAGCACTGTGTACAAACATCACTGTTTTAATTTGAAGTGCATTTGCACATCAGAACACAATATACACCATATTTTGAGGAATTCCAGTGCATAGTTTCAGGTGTACTTTTTACTCCAACCACTAGAGGTTTAGACTGCACAGTATTATTTCATTTTAATGTCACTCATTCATCACTTCCAACACAAATAAAGATTTCTACAAATATACTGCTGTCATATAGTCAAGTCTTGAGTTATGTGAATAAAACAGGCAGTCGGAAGCTGATTGCGTTCCAACAAACACGATGCTGGAGAAGCGAAACACTCTGTCAAATTATGATGAGTGATCATAAAACTATGCAAATTAGAAACAGGAAAACAAATCCCAAACTCGCCGAGCTTCATCTCACTGACTTCCAGTTTGAGGTTCTGCTTTCTTTCATGTTTAACACTGAGATTATTTTTTGGACGGGTATTTTATTAACCCCTTAAACTGTAAGGGTCTATATGGGGGTCCACACTACAGAACATACACATTAGTTTATAGTAGTAACTGAATAATTCATAGTAAATCCTGAACAATTCATAATAGGTACTGAACAATTCATAGTGGATGCTGGAAAAAATAATTGTGGTTTCTTAATAATTCATTGTATGTACTGAATAATTCATAGTAGATACTGAACACTTCATAGTGGTTACTTAAGAATTCATAGTAGATACTGCTTAATTTGTAGTGATAACTGAATAAGTCATAGTAGGTCCAGAATAATTCATAGTAGATACTGAAAAATTCATTGTCTTTTCTCAAAAATTCATAGTAGATACCGAGTAACTTATAGTTCACACTGAAAACTTCATAGTCATTACTCAATAATTCATAGTAGATGCTGAAGAATTCATAGTAGACAAAGAATAATTCATAGTAGTTACTGAATAATTCATAGTGGTTACTGAACAATTTATAAAACATACTGAATAACTTATAGTAGACATTAAATTATTCAAAGTATTACTCTGTAATTCATAGTGGTTACATATTAATTCATAGTAGAAACCAAATAATCAGTCTTAAGATTAATAACTAAACAATAAAGTTTAGGGCATTAAACTAGGAGCTCTGAGTGATATATTGTTTAATAAATTTGGTCAAGGTAGTTTCATAGATTAAATGGTATTGCAGTAAACTGATGTCTCTTTAACCCCTGTAATGTTCAGGCCAGTCTGGGAATTTAAGGTATTAGATGTTATATATGAAAAGCAAATTCAGAAATGTTCTTTATGTAGATGTTTTAAGGTTCTATTTTAAAGTTATAACGTAAAGTACTGGTATCTGAGAGTGCTCTAATGACCTGTTGCTAATTCTGGTTGTGTTTAAGTATGAAGCAAAGCCAAACCCGGTTTATAGAGCACAGAATAACAGAGAAGAACCTGGAGAGAGGCTGGTATAGTTACCGTAGGCTGGGATGCCGTAGTGCTGGCCTGGCTGAGGGTAAGTGGCGTAGGCTGCGGCCTGCTGCATTCCTGTGGTGTACTGCGTCTGACCGTACGCAGCCATGTTCTGAGACGAAGGAGTCGGAAGAATATGAGGATACGTTCTGCTGTTAGGGAGAAAAACACAGAACAGAAAGCGAAGAACATACTTTTATTCAAAAGCCTCTAATGTCACGTTTGCCTCCTGACAAATTCTTCGTGATTCTGTTACTTGATCATAAACGCTAATGTCATGAAGAGGCAGAAAAAAGGATCCTCTGGCTGATACACAACATGAAAGAATAATAAATCACACAGGAAATTTTTGCAAGATAATAATTACAACAGATTTCAGGGTATGCAAGCTGCAGACATCAGTGAAAACAAGAGCAGCAGATCTGGCAGCAGGATCTAATTAAAGGCCAAAATGAAGCTGGATGCTGCTTATTTTTTAAAGAAAAATAAAAGTAGCCTTACTTGGAAGGGTAAATCTGCGGAGAGAACTGGTGCGTTTGTCTTGGGCTGAAGCCACTGCTTCCAATGGCTGCACAGAGTTAAAAAGAAAAGAGGCAAGCACATATTTAAGCATTAAAAAATAAGATAAATATTGTTTTTTGCCAACAGAACTGCTGGAATCCACAGAAACAGTAATTATACTGCGTTACTCCATTTATTTCACTAACCTTATTCCAGGTTAAGCCATAATGAGGAAAAATAATCAAGTGTAATGCATGACATTTTCTGCTGACTACATAAAACACTTTATTAAGACTGCAAAGACAGCTTTGGACCCCCCCCATCCCCCACAACCCACCAAAGACAAACTCACAGCAGTAGTCAGTAGTGGCTTCAAGGGTCTTCGCATTGAATCAGTGACATGTTTGATTATGTACTACGTTAGTACATATTTGTAATAGTAACATGCCCATATGCATTATACACATGTATGTATGTATATATATATGTATATATATATATATATATATATATATATATATATATGTGTGTGTGTGTGTGTGTGTGTGTGTGTGTGTGTATTATATACGTAAGCATCCTTATGTGATAATAATGTTTAATGTGTATAATATGTGTAATATGCCGTGTATTATTATTATTATTATTATTATTATTATTATTATTATTATTATTACTTTTTATTGATTTACTTTTTTCTGCGGATGTTAGCAGATTAGCAACATTAGTTAGCATATGTCTATGTAAATTAATCATTTAATTATGATGATTGAATCCAAACGCAGGTCTGATGCTAAGCCTGTTTGTGTGTTTTCTGATGCTTCTCTGTGTTGGAGTAAAGTTCAGGGCAAGTGGTGGAGACTGTATGAAACTATACGCTATTAGCCCCTTTATTAACACTGAGCACTTTCCCCCCCTCACCTCAGCACCTGCCACCGCTACGAAGTCCTCCCCAGAGTGTGCAGAGCTCTAACATTACTAAATTTCATTAATATTGTCTGAGACAGAAGTCACAGCTATGATTTATGTGCGTCTAACATTAAGGTATCAAATACTTAGTCAAATGGGTATAGGGAAATAAGACAAATTAGCAGCAATGCTATACTCCGCAGTGAGCACACACATTTGCTTAGTAAGCGATGTGAGGAGTCACTAACACTTATCTAAACATGTTTGCTTAAGTCTGAAACTAATACCGTTCAGAGTGTAGAAGCGTTCAGAAACTAAAGCTATTTCTGTGGCTCAAAAGCTGCCTTAGAATAGTCGTCCATTCAAAACAGGTATTCAGTTCAGAATACGGTGTGAAACCATGTTTTATTTTCATAAAGATGTGTAGTTGAATTAAATATGCAACATAAGCATACACAAAATATGTAATATATATATAAATATATAGTACATATTTTTGTGTGTATCTATCTTTAATAATGATATGGTAGTATTTCTTTAAACTGCTTGTTACATTTTTGTTACATTTTACCTTTTATATCTTTAGAAATGCAAGTGATTTGATTGGATGATTCTAATGGAGTTTGCTGATAAAGAAAGTGTTTGGGGGATCTGAGGGGCTGGAGGATAGGTTGAGGGACAATGAGGTAAAAGCCTAAAGCTCGGGGTCAGAAGGGAGATTTCGTTGCCATGGTGACTAAGCTTCGATGGCACTCTTTTGTGCACTTCCTGGTTATCCTCCTGTTATCAGACAGTCATTTCTGGACTCATCTCCCACTAATAGCATCAACGTGTTTGTGTATGTTTGTTTCTGTTCTTTTTAAGACAGAAATGTCCTAAAGTTGTACTAAAACCAGAGAAACAGGGCTACCCTTGCACTTTTATATGTTACACATACAACATATATATATAGGACATATTATTATTACAAAAAGATACTATAATACAACTTCTGTAGGTTCTTGCAGATATATAATACCAATGAGACAATACATACCTGATCCTGAGAAGCTGTCTAACGAGCCGTCTGCTACAGAGGTGGTGATGTCACTGCTGCTCATTGGCTCTGTTTTAACTGGAAAGCAAAAGAGAAGGCAGGATTATTAGAGAGAGAGAGAGAGAGAGAGAGAGAGAGAAAGAGAGAGAAAGAGAAAGACACATCACTATCATACCACATCCACTCACGCAGTGTCTGTTTCTGAATGTGCTTAAAAACCCAGTTTGAGGCAACGAAGCAACATGAAACACACAAAAACATCATATGCATGAGTTTACAAGCTTTAGCATAATATAAACATTTATACCTTTAACATCTAAAGATTAACCCTTAAACTCTAAGGACTCACATACATACCTGTCTTACACAGTAGTTATACAGTAGGTACTAAATAATGAGCCGATTAAAGCAGCAGATACTGTTAATTTAATGATGATTCACTCAGCTGAAACATATTAATCAATTAGTACCAAATCATCATCAGTTAATTGATTTGGCAGCTGAAGCTGATCAGCTTAATCAGCTAGTTAGGGGCTGCCATTCAGCTGCTACGAACATTTTAATTAATCAATGTCAAATCACTGTAAGCACCCAGTTCAGGTTGATCCACCCTGATCAATTATTTATTTATCTGCTCACTGATTATTTGTCCATGTTGAACATTTACCAGCTCGTTGGTTTATTAGTTCAAGTTCATCTATCATTTACCAGATCAAATGATAGATTTAGCAGCTCATCATAAAGTTATTGATTTGTAAGATCATTCTGAAGGTACTGATTTATCAGGTCATTTTTAAATAACTGATTTATCAAATCATGGTAGAGTTACTGTTTATCAGTATTTTATAATATCTATTATGAAGCCACTGATTTACCACTAAATTGATTTAATCTGCTTTACCAGTTGAAGGTATTAATTCAGCTGTTAATTGATTTATTATTGATCAGCTTGTGGTTGATTGATCAGTTCTAGATGACGTGTCATGTATCAGTTAATGTCTGTGATGTGTCTGCTGTTGTGTTCTTTACCATGGATCATTATGTATCTTAAAGAGCAGAGTGTGTGTGTGTGTGTGTGTGTGTGTGTGTGTGTGTGTGTGTGTGTGTGAGTGTGTGTGTGAGTGTGTGTGAGCATGTGTAATTGAGTTGTCAAGGCGATGGAGTGTGTATAAAATAGTTATGAGTTTGACCTGACTGCTCTGAGATTTCACAGGGGGAGAGAGAGAGAGAGAGAGAGAGAGAGAGAATAAAGAAAGAGAGAGAGGGAAGAGTTAAGAAACAGGGAGAGAAAGAAAGAGAGAGAGAGAGAGAGAGAGAGAGAGAGAGAGAGAAAGGGAAACACAGAGAGAGAGATATTGGCTCTTTTATGAAAACAGAAATTCACCATGTGGGCATAAAGTCATGCCCAGTGAAATCCCTCATGGTGGATTCAGCCTCGGGCTTATTCGTGTCTAACATGATTCAAACACGTGTCACACATACACACACGCCAGCATTTTCCCCGTTTTGGGTAAAAAAGGGAAAATAGTGGTACGGCTGCATGCACAAACTAGCACACTAAAGGCTAGCTGCATACCAGAAAAGACCGTAAATGGTTGGGGGGGTAAAACAAAATACACTGTAAAAAATTTACGTTTTATTTCTTTTAAGTCTAGTCAACTTAAGATTTTACAGTCAAATTTCTGCAAGTTCTTTTATATTTTCTGAAGTCAAAAGTTCTCCTAACTTACATTATTTAGTACTGCGTCTGAGTCTACAAATTACATATTAAGTGAGCCAGTTTGCATTGACGTCCCTGTAGTTACTGAACAATAAGCCTTAGTATGTAATAAGCCTGGGGCTTTAAAACAGTGAATGTGGTTGCCTTCTTGTACACTGAACTCACATACATCTGTTTTCAGATTTTTACTCAGTTCCTCCACCAGTTAAAAAAAAGCCCAATGTTTTTTTTCTAAATAGGTTACGCACTATATGCATATACAAAACATGTCATGTGAATAACTTTCCAATGCTAACTAAATGGCTAATAGATTTCGTCAACATTCTCTTCTTTCTGTGTAAATTGGGTGGTCCTAATCTTGGGTCTCGGGTAGTGCTTACATAAGCAGTACCCTCACCGATCACAAGGATGAGGTGAGTTATCCCACCCACACCAGCCGCTTTCTGGCCTCTTTCTGTCTGTTCACATCAGAGAAATGTACAGATTGAAAGCTAACCATCAAGTCAAAGCTAACCTAGCAAGCATAACGGATCTATCCAGCTACCTCATCTGTCCGTCTGTCATCCAGCAGTGAAATAAATAACAATTTTCTTTAAGACGTCTCGAGATAAAAGTGGGATAATGATTTTAGTGAGTGGACACAGTGGGGTCTACAACACCACCTGTATATGTAGATAGTTTCACTTGCGCTGTTGTGTTTAGATCTACCTCAGTGCTGTAGCAGGCTGGGAATCAGGCATGCCTATTAGAATATTAGGCCACTCCCATAGAGTTCTCAGATAGGCCTAATACATGGATTTTAAGTTGTGCTTCATTTTATTTCTAGTATTTTTATTCTAAGTTTGCTGGATGCTTAGTATAACATTTAGTTTTAGTATCATAGCGAAGAGAGTGACCTCCCCATGTATTGATTAACATGTAAATTTATTTTAACGTTTTTACTTCAGCTATTTCTTTCTAAGTTCACTTAACCTCTGGTAAATTACCCAACAACACAAACATTTTTAATATTCTACACCGTGTTTCCTGGAACTTTAAGTAGTCTAGTCTGAATTAGGTCAATAAAAACAGTTTAAGGTCAACTTAACTCAAAAAGTTTTTACTGAGTAAGCTCAACCTAAACTGTATTTTGGGCAGTAACTTAGATGCAGCACTAAACAAATGTAAACATGAAAACTATGAAAAAAAAAAAACTATGCAGAAGGTTGAGAAAAATTCATCATATTTCATTTTTTACAGTGTAAACTGCTGATGAGATTTCACCATTCATTCACTTCTCAGAGCCTCAAACCATGCTTTAAAACCAAACACAACACAAACACAATCCTAATGAAAGGCACAATAGTTGAAGCAGCGTTTATATTTCAAAATGAAATCGAGTCCAATTGCAGTCACTGTTACAGCATTCCAAATTCCAGACTGTGGAACTAAATGGATAAAAAGTTTCTTTCCATTAATAATAACACCAATTATTGTCCTTTCATTGTTTTCAACCAGAACTGCACAAACCTGCAGCAGACTGTGAACTAGAACTTAACAACCAGTCAGCTGTGGTAAGCATAGTGATGTTATCACCTAAAGAGAGAAAAAAGTGGCACATCACAGTCTACCCCACCAACACCCCCTCCCCCTCTCCCCCACCACCGCCGGGGGGCTTATCACTGCACAAACGCAACAAAACCACACGCAACATTACATTATGTAAACTGAGCTTACTTAAGAAAAGATTACGATTCCCAGCAGGAGTGAAACGCGAGCACTCGCAGAAATGCGGCAGATTCCAAAACGTCATTCCAAACTCACAGTTTTACTTCAAATACAGCACATTTCACTTTAGGCACAAGAACGGAGACTGAACATTAATTCTCTCTATGCAATGAAATGTAACATTCATTGTCTATTTATATTCAAATGTAACGTTAATAGTCCCTGTGTAATGGAATCTACCATTTACTGTTTTTATACAGTGCTATGTTTATTGTTTCTATATAATGAAATGTAACATTAATTGTCCACATACAATTAAATGTAATGCTAATTGTTTCTATATAATATGTTATATTAAATGTCCCTATACAAGACAATGTTAATTGTCTCTATGTAACTAATTGTAACATTGATTATTTCTATATAACAACCTATAAAATTAATTATAATTTGTAACATACTGTTACAAATGTAACATTAACATTGAGTACAATGCAATGTTGTTTCTATATAATGAAATGTAACATTACTTGTCCCCATACAATAAAATGTAATGTTAATTCTTTCTATATAATGCAAGTTTGTCTCTATACAATAAAATGTAAAATCATTTGTCCATATGATAGGTCCACATAATTAAATGTATGTATGTTAATTGTCTTTATACAAGAATGTAACATCAGTTGTCCCAATACAATAAAATGTAATGTTAATTCTTTCTATATAATGAAATGTAACATTAAGTCTCCCTTTAAAATAAAAACCAATGCTAATTCCCCCAATTGTCTCTTTACATTAAAATATAACAGGCCTATTGAGCACTTTTCTGATTATTTAAAGCAGACAGGGAGTGAAAACTATCACAAACATTCCTCCTTTGATGAGTAAAGTAGTCATAATCAGTATACATTCTTATAGAAGCTGTATTGGTCTATGCAGACAGACGGAACAGCTCTATGAACAGCAGTCCATTCTAGGAAAGTACGACGCTTTTCTCGCAGCTGATTTCTCATCAGAGTAGGATTTAAAGAGGAGAAGGTCACGCAGCAGGTAGAAGCAGGTTAGACAGTCTAATCAGATAAGAATAAATCTGATATATAACAGTGAACTGTGACCTGTATCAGTGAAAGATATAAAATAAAATGAAAAGGTGTTCTTACCTTCAGTGCCATTTGGTGTCATGGAATTGTTGTTGATGTGCGTGTTATCGAGGTTGGGGCCGTTGGGGGATTCACTGCTGCCACTGACTCGACTGTGCGGACTGGCTAGATCCTGCATTTCCATAGACCTGCACACACACGCATTCACTGTCAGGGGAGAGCTAGTAAATCTCCTTGCACATACACTTATATACTTTATCTGATTCTGCATACAGTAAAAACACTGAATTCACTGCATATATTCATGTGTCCATCATTTCATAAAATACTGTACAAAATAGTTACTTTGCCTACTCAGGAGATGACAAAAAAGGCTTTGAATGTAAGATAATGCTAAAGAGATTTTATTACAAGTCATTTTGGAGCATTTCTATTGGCCCCTTCAACATGATTATTTTCACACAATGTGAGACTGAGAAAAATAAAAATGGAAAATGTCCGTTTTTAACAACAATGTTATTTTTCATAGTTACTGTATCCAGTTTACTTGGTATGTTGACATATTTTTTCCAGGTAGAAATGACATACACATTTAAATCTGATTATTATTTATACTGCATCTCTTTTTCCAGCATATAGTAATTAGTTCATTTACAATATTATTTTAAATTAAGCTTCTTAAGATTTACAATATGAGGCATTCTGGATATTTACAGCTTCATGGAGTCCGGCTGATCATCTGAAAGCTGATGTGAAACTAAATTCATTTTATTATTGAATATATATTGTATATATATATTACTATATATATTATATATATTACTATTTGACAGCTTTGTTTTTTAATCTTAACGCCATTCATAAATTCACATAAAACTGCTGAACTTGATGTAAGCAATAATTAATTACAGTTATATAAACCCTTTTACAGGCTTCTACAGCACACAGGCGCATGTGAACAAAGCACTAAAACACAGCTGCATATGCATATAATGACTGTTTAACAGATTCTATTGTTTTATGTCACCACAGTTGCCACTATTAATAGATTCCACAAAACACTGTTTGTTTTCATGCTACAATATAACAAAAACCATGATGAGTTACAGCAATATGAGTCAATATTATAGAGCAATGCATTTAATAAACAGGAGGAAGAGTGAACAAGTTAACACAGCTTAAATATATATTCTGTTTATTTAACCACAGTGAACACAAACACATTCATTCAGTATTTATACACATAATGAATATTTAACTGTTTCTATTCCTGATGATTTTTCAAACCATCAGTAATTAACCACAAATAAGGCTATCAAGCTAATAGTGAATTATAACAATATAAGCCAATTTCATAGTCTAAAACATTCTGTTCCACAACAAACCCAGCATGAATATAGATATTGAAAACCTAAAAAAATATTGAAAAAGTCCCTTTAATTAATTGTTCCATCACCACAGTAAATGCAAACGCAACAGTCCAGCACTTATGCATATATTGAATATTTGCCAGTTTCTGTTTTCTTTAGTTGTTACCACTATTAATTAAATCCATACACCACCTGTTGCTTTCACGCTACAATATGACAAAAACAGCAATGAATCACAGCAATAAAAGCCATCTTTACAATCTAAAGCAATTTGTCCTACAATAAACAGCAGCACAAATGAACACAGCATCAACACAGATCGAGTGTTACTTTGTTTAACTGTTTCGTTACCACAGTGATCTTGAGCGTGAGTGTGAGCGTGAGCGCAGTGGCCTGGCTGAGGAGTAAACTAGCGAGGGCGTTCCCCTGAGACACAGCCGGTGACATTTGACCCAAATTTAACAATTAATGAGACATGTGATGATTGATTGACTTTTTTAAGCTCATTTTAAGCATTAATAATTAAACACCAGCTCCTGTGGTGGAGCACCGTACTCTATGTCCACTCCTGATTTACAGGCAGCCTTCATAAACCTCCCTACATGCTCAGACAGTTCAGCGTGGCGCTGCGCTGTTTACCCTTTAATTGTGTCTCTGTTTACTGTCTGAATGCTCCACCACATGGTTCACTATACACAGCAAATGAATGGACACTAACAAGGTTAAAGCAGATTAGATAAGGCTAAAAATATTTATATTAGGAAAAAAAAATTAATATCTGTCAGTATACATTGATTTGTAGGTGTTCTTGCAGTACTTTTAATAAACTCTAAAGCAATCAGCCCATTAGATAAAGCTCTGAATGCACAGCTGACAAAAGCATTCACATTTTACAGGTTAAAAGTTATTAATCTGCATTAGTCTACTGCATGCACTTTTATTCTAGCAGATAGAGCATCTAAGAAATCGGCAATACGCAATGCTGGGGAAGTTAAGAGTGTAAAGGACGTTTCGGTTTGATGCTCTGATGAAAAGCTCAGCTATGACACAGTCTTAAATAAACAGAGGCAAAGCAGCATTCAAATACGCACATTATTACAGAACGACAGAAAAGAACCATCTCTCCATCTCTCTCTTTCTCTCTCTCTTCTTTCTCTCTGTTTCTTTCCTATTCTCCATCTGATTCTTATTCTCTTTCTTATTCTTTCTCATTTCTCTGTCTCTCTCTCTCTCTCTCTCTCTCTCTTTCTCTCTCTCTCTCTCTCTCTCTCAGTCAATTCAATTCTAATGACAAATAATTCTCAAAGTATACATTATGTTTCTTGTTCTTTTTCCCCTCGCTCTCATTTCCTTCTCTCATCCCTCTTTCTTTCACTCTAATGTCTTTCTCTTTTTCCTCTCTTGCTCTGTCTCTCTCTCAGTTCAGTGCAATACAATGGTATGACTGCATTTACTGTTAGATACAGTAAAGCATCACTGAAATACTAAGACTGAAATTTTTACAGATTTAACAAAATCTACGTTTCAGTTAAAGGGAAAAGTTTTAGCTGGAAATGATCAAGGAACATAAATAAAAACAACAATTTAACTCTCGCTCAATTCAGTTCAGTGTGAATTTTATTAATAAGAATTAACATTTAAAAAGCCTTAGTTAAGTTTTAATTAAGCCTTTCACAAACAATTTGGTAAAAAGTTTAGTTTCTCCTTCAGAGCGCCATTTCTCCTCTATACCCCCCAAAAAACTTTGGGGCCTTTCCATCATGTGAACGTTCTTAAAACTATAAAAAGACTCAAATTTGTCGTACAAAACAGGTTCTTTACATTTTTAAAGAACTATCCATTGAAGGATTCTTTAGTGAACCAAAGTGGTTCTTCTATAGCACAGACAGAACTTGTGGTTTAAGCTCAACTTTTTGCTAAATATCCATCTACATCTCAGTGATGCTCCACTCTCTCTCTCTCTCTCCCTCTCTCTCTCTCTGTCTTACCTGAAACTGGATGGAGCTCAACCATCTGAGTCAGACAGCTTCTTTCTTTCCTTTTCTTCCCTCTATTTTCCCCAAAAACTTTTTTTTCCACCTGCCAGTCCCTCTGAAACAATGTCCGTCCTTGTTATTCCAGCCTGGTGTCACTGTCCAGACCCATCCGTCACACAATAGCCGTTGTCTGAGAAAACATTATTGTTATTGTGGAGCAGCCCGAGCCGGACGAACAGAGACACATTGTGAGCGGGTTTTTTTCAGGTTTTTTTTTCGGCCCCTCTGCTTCCTCCTGCAGGTTCTGCCTCCTCCTTCCAGAGGCGGAATGACGGACGGAAAGGTGATTCATCATTGGAGGAGGACAGCTGCAGACTGGATTAGCTCTCAACCAATCAACATGCAAACACGGCTTAGCCAAGGTAAGCAGGAAGGGGAGGGGCCGGGGAGCAAGGGGAGCAAAGTTGGTGAAGGGGGGGTGGGGTAACTACTGCTAATACCCCTACAAGAGAGGGTAGTAAAGCAAGAGAGATGCACTGCCATTCCTACGTATAACCTGTGATAATCTGTAAATATAGCTTTTCTTGTAATTGGAATCTGGATGTCTTAAATTGAAAAATATTAGTTCTTACAGTTTACTGAGTTTAACTGGACTGAACTGAGTTTTGTTTTCTTTGATAAACATAAAAGCATCTACTTATAGGTAGGAGAATTGTCAATAACTACTAAGCTTGTAAATAACAATAATGCAACCTAAACATTTGTAACAATGTAATAATAATGTATTACATATAATTAATATGTAATACTAAAGTAACATGTATCTAGCAACACTAATGGTTACTATGTAACAACATAGTAATAATATAATGTTTAACACCTTGGAATTGCTGTAACAATTATATGCAACAATGTAACAATAATGTAACTAATATGTATGTAACAATGTAACACTTGTGTAACATAAGTATATGCCATGAAAATGGTTTTAAACCATTTATTGAGCAGTAATTCAGTTTTTCCAGTAAAAACACCATATTAGAATAAACACAAATAATCATAAACACAGTAGTCAGAATGTGTTGTGTTGAGTAAAGTTAAGAATATGTAGGAAAGAACAACACAGTTAGAAGAACACAGTTCAATTCCATCACCTGATATAATTAATGAAGTACTAATTAGATAAACTATGTACTGGTAAATGGAAAGTGTAAATGCTACAGGAGAGCTAACATACTTGCACACACACATTTGTTTATTTGTTTGTAATTTTTTTAACAACTACATGCTTCTGGCCCAGAAAAAAAAGGCTTTCCCAAATGGCCTGAGGCTTTTTCACTGCTGTATGTGCGTGACAATGTAATAATAATGTAACATCTATGTAGTAATAATATAACATACACATGTATCAGTGTATCAACAGCGACTCGTAACATCGATGCCAGTGACACACTATTTAAGTGAGTTTAGTATGTAATTGAAACTGAGACATTTGAAATCTCTAAATGTGAATACTGGCTATTTCAGTGATGTTTTGGCAACAATAGTGTATCTAAATATAAACTACATAAACCATAGCAAGCTTAAACTGATACAAAAGAGACAGAGAGAAAGAGAGGAAGGAGCGAAAGAGAGAGAGAGAGAGAGAGAGAGACGGAGAGAGAGAGAGAGCAAGAGAGAGAGAGAGAGAGAGAGATGTGTTGAACAGAAGCAGTGGAGTGTGACCCCCTGCAGCATCCTCAGCACATCTTTCATCTGCAATTGATGCCTATCTGAAATTCATCTGCACTCCCTCCCTTCACACTGACAGGCACTAACGACCATCAGCCCTGAGGCTGCAGG